CTTGCACCTTAAAAGAAATGAACCCTTTCGGCTTCCTCAGTTGACAGTGGCGTCTCGTGTCAAACGGAGCTTCGGAAAGATCTCAGGTTCATTCTGTCCTTGACCTTCGCTCAGGGCCTCTCAATCCGGGCTGGGGACGGGCAGGGCGCGGGCAATAATAAATAATATCATAATCCTTGTGTCTGATACAGCGCCTTGTCGCGACAGATCTCAAAGCGCTTCACGGAATAGAGCGGAAAGAGACAAAGGGTTTCTGCTGAACACTGTCTAAAATGTCATCCGCAGACACGGTGTCGACTTCCACTCGTACGCGGGTGACACCCAAATCTACTTCCCCCCCTTCCAGCTGCGCCTCCCGGTCTCCTGATGGCCTGTTTTGACGTACATCAACGTCTGGATGAGCGCAAATTTCCTGCAGCTGAATGTCGGCGAGGCGGAAGCCAGACTCTTTGGGTCTGAATCCCTAACAACTGGGTTCCTAGGTACACAGAGCAATGTTTTGCACCACCCGGGAATCAAACCCGGGGCCTCTCGCTTGCGAGGCGAGCCAGCGAGCTAACCACTACGCTACGAGACTCCACAATGAACAGGATGTTTGGGCTCAGGCCCTTTCGTGTCCTCAGAGCTGCTGAGACTGTGCATCAAACCCCCCCCCCCCCCAAAGAATCGTCAACTTGAATTGTAGCTTCCAACACGTACTGTAAAATACAGTAATTGTTTTGTGTGCAATCATGGCAGCCAAGTTGCACACTTCAATGTCCTGCAAACAACAACAACTTGGATGTATATAGCGCCCTCCACCCCAGACGGCGTCTCAGAGCGTTGTACAGTAACGGGTCCCTGGGCTGAGCCGGGGGTGGGGAGGAAGGTGACCAAAGGCGCGGTCAAAAAGAAGGGTCTTCAGCTGAGATCTGAAAGTAGGAAGAGAGGGGGCGATGGGAAGGGAGTGAGGAAAGGAGCCACAAACAGCCATGAAGTGAATGACCAATTTTATTTGGGGTGGGGGGGGGGGCGGGGATTGTCGGCCAAATATTGGGAGAGAGCAACTCCGTTCTCTTTTCCAATAGCACCGATATTCCAATATTGTGTGTAACTCGATGCACAAAAGAGCGACTGCAGTTGTGAGGCACTGAACGCACAACACAAGCACTGAAGGCCATTTAGCGATTCTGCAAACTGGAAGTGCTGTCCTCTGTGGTTTAGAAAATGACCCATTTTTTTTTCTTACGTACATAATCCAATGTCCGCCCAACCCCCTCCACTTGCCGCAGTAACAGTATTTTAGCTGGAATAAAAGCCGGATGTCAATAGTATAAAGTTTCATCTCTGGAAACTGGAAGAACTTAGTGTAGTCCTGCAGCTGTTAAAATGATTTTACCCCCTCCCCGCCCACCCCTAATACACACACACACACACACCACATGCCCAGGCACACAAACCAACAAACACACACGTACACACAGACAACACACACACACAGCACACTCAGACACACACAAACAGACACACACACACACACGTACACCCACACTCAAGCGAGATATGGTGTGGCGCATCAACCCATCAATTGAATCTTATTGAAATAAGACCCAAAGCTCATCCGCATCAGATTCGAGAAAGAAATTCAATCCAATCCTTCAGATAAAATGGTCGCTCACCTCATGGCTATTTACTGAAGCGGCGTGGTTGCCACGTTTGCCTACAAAAGTCATGGCCCTAGACATTAATTACAGTAATTACTGTAAAGCTCTTCGAGATGTTTAGATATTGTAAAATGCATCTCCCATGAGTATTCAGTTATTCCAACAATAGCTGTATTCAAAGGTTATTCCTTCACCCACATCAAATCCAGAACGCTGGCCGTAAAGCCTCGCGTTTGATTCAGTGCCTTATCACGTCATTGAGACGTCTCAAAGCGCTTCACAGGATATATTATAAAGTGGAGGGACTGTGAATCTTGTCGGCGAAATGCAGCAGCCAAATGCGAAAATGTAAGTTAACAGTTTTGTGCGGCTAAATTTGACAAGACGGCTCTATATTCCTAACTGATAACCTTTGCCTGGAGTCAGGCTGATTACGTGTCCATCGATTGCTTTTCGGAACAGCTCACAGGGGCTGCAATGGCCTTCGCACGTTTAGATTTTAGTTTTACAATCAAAGTCACCACAAGTTGGACGCATTGATTCCTGTCTGAGATCTGAGCCGGGAAGAAGAGAAGAGAGAGGTGTTTTCAATGAAGGACTGAAGCCCGAGAGAGTGCGGTGGTGATTTATTCTCTGATTTGGGGTCGAGTTCCCCTAGGGTTCGGGGAGTATTTGTGCGGTGGGTGCAGAGTAATCGCTGAGTGGTAAGAGCGTTCGCAGGGCCAAACGTTGGGCAAGTTTCCTTACTCCACACACACGCCTCTGTTTACCAGCAGTCAGTAGGAACACGGTTTTTAGTCGATTGGTGGATGGCTTTTCCAGGGGATTAATAATCCCTCCAAAAATAATAATAATTTGGTCACTCAATCCAAGACTATTTGTGAGACTCCGCTGTGCGCAATTGGCTGCCGCGTTTCACCCATAAAATATACAGTCAATTCACTTTACAGTGTATCCTGTGAAGCACTTTGAGACGACTCGACGACGTGATAAGGCGCTATATCAAATGCAAGGATTATTATTGTAATTAACGGGGTGGGGGGGCCGGGGGCACAGTGGCTGAAAGCACGGCCACCAATTGTGCAGCGGAGGGGACGAGGGACGGGTGGTTGGGCCGAGCCGGTTGAGTGGGCAGCGCGTGGTGTGACGGGGAGCCAGTGTACTCTGGCAAGGACTGGAGTGATGGGGAGGCGGGGGTGGCAAATACAGCGAAAAGCCTGGTTCGAGCCAAGACACATGCGGCAGAATACTGAATCATTTGGACATTGTTAACCGTGGAGCTGGGGAGACTGGCGAGTAGTGGTGCGTGTGAAATATTAATAATAATAATAATCCTTGCTTTCATACAGCGCCTTATCACGTCTTCGAGACGTCTCAAAGTGCTTCACAGGATAACACTGTAAAGTGAATTGACTGGGTGTTTTGTGGGCGAAACTCGGCAGCCGATTGCGCACAGCAGCGTCCCCACAAACAGCCGTGGACTGAGTGAACAATTTATTTTGATTTATTTTGATTTGTAGGCGAGGTTGAGGATCTTGAAAATGATCAGCTGGGAGACAGTGGAGACCGGCAACTTTACTTTTACATTTACTTACTTTTTTAAAATATAAAAACACATAATATTATAATATAAAACTAGATTGTGTGCCCCCTAGCGACAGGATCTAAGGACCAAGTTAATAACTGCCTTGTTCATTAGAGACCCATTAGAGCTCTCCGCACCATCAACCTCGCCTTCCAAGGACCTCCATGGCCTCTTGCTCTTCCCTACCTCTGTGACCTGCTAACCCCATATCAACCTGTCCGCTCCCTCCGCTCAGTGGGCTTCACGTCCTCTGCCCGGCCCACCCTACCACCATCAACCTCTCCGCCCCCAACCTTTTCGGAACTCAATCCCACGTTGATGGCCTTGCTCCCTCTGTTGCCTCCCTCGACCCTCCTCTTCAATCGTGCCTTCAGCCACCCTCCTACCTCTCCCCTCCCCGCCCTCTGCCTTCCCTAATCCCAACCCCCAGAGCTCAGATCCAGATCCCTGACTGTCCTCAACATTCCTCCCAATGTTGAAAGGCGCTTCAGGATGTAAATTTAAATTGCTGTTCAGGAGAAGGGAGAAAATAGGACCTTTTTTCACAATAAATTCCAATTCCAGGTGGGTGGAGTAAGGAAACTTGTCCAAGGTTTCGCCCCGCCCGGGAATAAGAATAATCCTTCCATTTGATATACAGTAAATACAGATCTGTATAAATCGCACATCTGCCCAAGTCCTGTTCAAGAGTTTATTTTCCATGCAAGTTTGACACAATTAAATAAATAATAAGTGTATGGTCCCAACTGATAAGCCCAACGTGAGCTGGTACCGTATCACATTATTGAGATGCCTCAAAGAGCTTCAGGGAATATACTGTAAAGTGAATTGACTGTGTATTTTGTGGGCAAAACGTGGCAGCCAATTACGCACAGCAGCGTCCCCACAAACAGCTGTGGATATTGAGTGACCAATTTATTATTAGAGGGGTAAGAGAGATGGGGATTAAGGGGGGGGGGGGGGAAGGGGCAGAGTATAAACACTGGCATGGACTAGTTGGGTCAAATGACCTGTTTCCATGCGGTAACACTCTGTAATTTATTTCTTTCATTCAGTTACAGCCACCCCTGCCCCCCAGCCGCAGGGGAGGGCGAGGGGTGGGGGAGAGACCGTTCTAAAAACATTAGGATCCATAACTTAATAAACCCTGATTTACACCAAACGGCCCGCCCGCCTCGGCAAACTCAGCAAGAGTGAAATGCGGAGGTCAAAGCGGATAATTTGTCATGTACAGACTGCTGATGCGAGTCGCTGAACAAAAACTAAAACAAGGATCTGATCCGTCGAGCCTCTGTGAAAAAAAAAGACTCCCCCTCCTCCCTCCCTCCCTCCCTCGATCGATTTCTCTATCCATTCCCCCGGGTAGCGCAAATGATTCGGGCTCACTTTCACAGCATTTCTACATACATGATACATGCACAAAAAACAATTGAAGCAGAAAATAAAAGATAAGTCGAGAGGGCTTACCTTACTTAAAACAAAATCCTGCATGTGTGCGTGTACGTTGGGGTGTGTGCGTGTTTGGTTGGTGTGTGTGTGTGTGTGCGCGTTGCGTGCGAGTGTGTGTTGTGTTTGTGTGCGCGTGTTGTGTGCGAGTGTGCGTTGTGTTCTGTGCGTGCGCGCGCGTGTGTTGTGTGCGCACGGGGGTGTGTGTGTGTGTGTTGTGTGCGAGTGTGTGTATGACTATTCGGAAATGCTGAAAGAAATTCATCCCAAGACAAAGAACTTACTGGGAGACGTATATAAATAGACAATTTACAAAGATGTCTTACCTGGAACCCTGTTTATCTCCACGTCAAAGTAGCATTGAGGACGGTTCTTCACCCCCATCGCAAGGCACACTCTGTGTTCACACCTGATTCAGAACAAAGAGGAGGAGGTTGGCAAGGTAGCCGTGTCAATGAATCTCTGCTGAACCCGGTCAGGACTCTATGTAAAAGCGACCTCTTCTTAAAAGTCTTGCAGGCATCTATTCTCTCTTTTTCTCTCTCTTTCTTGCACTCTGCTCTCCCTCCCTCCCTCTCCCTCTCTCTCTCTCTCTCTTCCTCGCTCTACTCTCTTCTCTCTCCCGCCCTTCCTTCTGACGAGCCGACTCTCATGCTATCAAAGACGGCACAAACCGTCTTTTCTTCTGCGGGTGACGAGCGACGAGCAGTGTGTGAATGAGACGCTCAAAGGCAGAGGAACACACAAGTCTCCAACAGCACGAGAGGGAGTGGGGAAGGGGAGGGGGGGGGGGGGAGTGTGGGCGGGGGATTGAGATTCATATGCAAACTCATCCTTTTCGTATGACACCCAACAAGCCTATTAAGCAAAACACTCTTGAGACAGTCACTCTTCAGTAATTAAACAACACTGCTGTCCAGAAGAGCTGAAGGAGTACTAATTGAAGGAACTAAATTAAGAAAGCAACACAGCAGCAGCAAAATAACACACACGTACACACACGTAAATATGCACCGACGGTGCAATTAAACATGCAGCGTTGTGCCACAGAAATTAAAATTAAAAATTGCAAACAATTGTCTCTTTGCGGAGAGAGGAAAAAACGCACACATTTCTCGAATTCGGTCTGATATTCAATGCGTGTCGTGTCATGTCGCAATTCGCCTGGGAACAGGGACATGAAATATCACGTTGAAAAAATAATTGATAGCAATAAGGGCCTATCGATTCCCACGGGCGGTTTAGTTTTGCTTCAGCAAACTAGGAGCTACCACATCGCGCACGATTCTGGTCTCTGGCTCTCGCTTACATAGATTTCAACGACGACGACTTGTATTTACACAGCGCTTCTCGCACAGGGTTTACAAGCCCCAGAGCGCTTGATAGTGGTGGAGCGCGACTCTGAGCCGGGAGGGGGCAGAAGACGGTCGAAGGGGAAGGCGTGTCGTGAAAAAGGGGCAGGAAGGGGGCGAGGCGGAGGGGGATGGAGTAAGAGCGTTCCAGAGTTTCGGAGGCCTCGTGGCTGAAATACATCAATATAGTCCCAAGATTTATTTACTGTCGCTCTCTGACCTTCAACGGTGAAAGCCCCTTCCCTGGAGAGTTTTAAAAAAGAAGACCTGTGTGTTTTGCTTTCTTTTGTTGTTGGATTTGAAGTCCACCCACACGGCAGGGGATCAAAGACATCTAACCTTGCCTCAGAACGTCGGGAACTGGCTTGCAGTTCACGAGCCAAACAAGCCCCGCGCTACCGAAACACCACGCGGCCATTTAAGACGTTCGGTGCACGCGACAGTGAAGCTTCAGATCAAGTACGATATCGACTGAGACAGCTTGAGAAACGGCACCGGGAGACGAGGAGCCAAAGTGGATGAAACGCGAGCTTTTAGGACAACAACAAGATTACATTTGTACAGCGCCTTTCACGTCGGGAGGACATCCCAAGGCGCTTGACAGTGTACAGCATTTGAGACCCGAGCTGAGGTTGGGGAGGGGGGAGAAGGGAGGGGAGGGGAAGGAGGATGACTGATGGCACGGTCGAAGAGTCAGGTACAGGCTACAGCCATGGAATGAATGGCCAATTTTATCTGGGGGTGGGGGGATTGGCCAGGAACTCCGGGAGAGAGAAGCTCCCTTAACGGCGCCGCAGGATCTTTAACGTTCATCTGAACAGGCGCAGACCTCGCTTTAACATCCCATCCCAAGGACGGCACCTCTGACAGTGGAACACCTCCTCAACCACCGCACTGGAGTGTCTGTCAGCTTAAGACGAGGTGAGGACATAGTCCTTAAGTGCTCTGGGACGCTACATTGCATGAAAGGCGCTATATAAGTGCAGGTTGTTGTGGTTGTGGTTGACGTGAGGCTCGACCCAACAGCTTTTAACTCAGAGAGAGAGCGAGAGAGACTGACTGAGACAGATTGACAGCTCAGGGAGAGGGGGAGTGGGGGAATAGCCAAGAAAATACGTCAACACGCGCCAGGTGCACAATGTAAAATGTAACTGGCCCAGTGTAATCTAACTTCCAGTTACCTGCGAGCTCGCCCTGTGGGTCACACGATTAAGGTCCGAGCCCTTGCCCTGGGAACTGAGCTCGCAGTTTAGGCTGACATGTTCACTGCAGGACAGGGAGGGTGTTTTATTACTGAGCCGAGCATTTCAGGTGGAGGTTAGAGATCCCTTGGCGGTACAGTAATTCGAAAGAGCACAGCTCTCCCCAGCGTACCGGCCTACATTCCTCCCTTGTCTGAATTCACCCCAAAAATGGTCTTTCCATCTGTCTTGCTGCTTTATTTTGTGTGGTTATTAAATAATAATAATGATCATCATCACAATTCGGTCACTCAATCCACGACCGCGTGTGGGAGCCCTCCCAAACAGGAGCCCTCCCGCCGAGTCCTCCCAATGGCACGTTTTCTTAACCTTAAGGGTTAAAGATGCCTAAGAAGCGAAGATCAAGCCCTTTCAAGGACAAATGAAAGCGCCAGACGAAAGAGAGCAGGCCGTTTAAATGAATCCGAAGAGCAAAGGACAGCGCGGCTGGACTTAAAACGCAGAAAGGCACCCGAGTATACGGCCAAACGAGTTGCACGCTCAAAGGACAGTTCGGCTGGACTTCCGACGCAGAAAGGCCCGGCGAGAACACGGCAAAAAAAATTGCCCACTCAAAGAAGAAGGACGCGGCTGGACTTGAACGCTGAAAGGACTGCAAGAGCACGGCAAAATGAGTTTCCCGCTCAAAGAATAGCCCAGCAGGACCTGGACACAGAAACGACTGCAAGAACACGGCAAAGTGGCATGGTAAGTGGCTTGTGAGTGTTAGCACTGAAATCTACATTCCATAGTGCCATCCTTTGCCACGGGTTACAGCTGGTTCACGACAAAGTGAATTGACTGTATGTCTTGTGGGCGAAACGCAGCAGCCGATTGAGCACGACGGTGTCTCACAAACTTGCCGTTGGTTGAGTGACCAAATTATTATTATTATTTTATTTTTTCGGAGGGATTATTACCTCCAGAAAGGTGATTCGCCAATCAAGTAACAACCGGGTTCCTACTGACTGCCGGTAAACAGGAGGCGCGTGTGTGTGTGTGTGTGGAGTGAGGAAACTTGCCCAACGTCTCGCCCTGACCTGCCCGGGAATCGAACCCGGGTCCTCTCGCTCACGAGGCGAGGGCTCTGACCCCTGAGCTCCAGGACTCTGGCATCTGATCAACAGAAGGGAGTTGGTTCGAATGAAGCACAGTGAAGGACGAATGTTGTTTATACGAGGAAACAGATTTCTTCTGCTACCGAAGGGACGTTTGTAACTGTTTCAACCGAGCGGAGATAACGCGACCGGGCGAAAGCAGAAGTGTTAATCCCACTCGAGCAAAAAATAAAACAACACTTATTTTCGGTGTAGATCGATTCCAGCAAAACTGCAGGTCACGAATCGACTGCAACGAACATCTATTTGAGACTTACTTGGCTTGAAACAATTTCGCCGACGCCTGAAGATTCTAGCGATACGATTCCTAAAATCACGCAGCTTTTCGGTGATCTGAGTGTTGAGGTGACAGCGCGCGACTAACTACGTGCCGGCTTCACCAACACACGCACGCACGTCAAACTCAGACAACATAAAGGGCTCAAGGCTTTCTCTCCGTCTGTCGCTCCCTCTCTCCCTCTCTCTCTCCCTCTCTCTGTCTCTCTCTCTCTCTATCCGACTCGCACTTCTTAGGACATCAAAAGCCGTGGCTTGCGAAGTCGATCTCTGGCCACGTCGAGCTCCCAGTCCATCGCGACGGCAGCGAGTGAAGTGTTTCAAGGCGAGTTGAGCTTTTATAAAACATGAGTGAGAGGATGACCTCACAGCAAACGGTTGCTGAGCCAGCCAGCTGACAATCCATCCTCCCTCCCTCCCTCCCTCCCTCTCCCTTCCGCTTACTCCACAAGCTTCTGACTTATCGAGATGCGTGTGTGTGTGTGTGTGCGTGTGTGTGTGGGGGGGGTTCTTTTTTTTTGTTGCATTTATTAAATCGTTAAGAAGCAGCAGAACCGGGTACGCTATCAAAGCCCGGACGGACTCTGGTTCGGAAGATTAGATTCGCTCCCCATTGAGCGTCCTGGTAGTTCTGCAAATGCTGCATTAGCTGATTATAGCATCGATTTCAATCTCGCCAGCATCTACTGACTATTAAACTCCCATTACCACAGACTTTAGCCTTCAGCTCAGTTGGGGTAAGAGGAGGTCGCAGTCAGGGATTCCAATCACTGATCATCACAATACCTTTAAACACACACACGCGCACACCCACCCACACACACACACCCACACGCGCGCGCGCGCGGGCTTAGCCAGACAGCCGTTCCGAAGGACGAACAACTAAATACTGCTAGTAATATTCAGCGCATTTGAAATAGCGCCTTGTCACGTCGTTGAGCTGCCTTGGTTTTTTTTTGGGGTGGGGATTATTATCCCCGGGACAAGCGATCCGCCAATCGACTAACAACCGGGTTCCTACTGACCGCCGGTAAACAGAGTCGTGTGTGGAGTGTGTGTGTGTGGAGTGAGGAGCCTTACCCAACGTCTCGCCCTGACCTGCCCGGGAATCGAACCCGGGTCCCCTCGCTTGCGAGGCGAGGGCTCTAACCCCCGAGCTCCAGGGACTCCACAGTATAAGATGTCGGAGACCCCAGCAACTAATTTCGAAAAGGGAGGAGAATTTTTCCCAGAGAACACTGGCCGTCAATCTTCCAGATAAAACTCTGGAAGGTTGATTTTGACCTCGTGGCTGTTTGCAGGACCTTGATGTGTGGCACGTTTTCCTGCAAAACTAATCGCCGTGCACGACAGTAATTACAACGGCGTTCCAGATAACACCCAACAAAGGAAAAACATCTCAAAGCGCTTCAGTTTTCCACG